AAAATAAGGCTACATTTTGATGAAATTTTGATTATGGATTAATTGGTGTTGAGTGCAATTTTTTTTCATTATTACATAATCCACATGTGCTCTGTAGTTTTTGGCAGAATGAGATAACATGGCTTTCTTTTCTCTTTGGTCTTTATCTTATCAAATGCTGATAATTTTTTTTCAAATTCCACATTAATTATTTTCTATGTGTTATGGTGTTGCAAATCCAATAAATATTCTACCTACTACATCAAAGAAATAACTGTTAAATTATGTCAGGCAGTTAAAAGACACTGACTCTCTTTCTTTTTGGAAGAAACCTCTGAACACTGTAGGACTGGGGGAAATTTTCTTTTGGACTGTCTCCACGTGGCAGATTTATCTTAAGAGGGGGATTGTAGAAGTTCCTAGCTATCTCACCTTGGTAAACGATACATATTGAAACATGGGTCTTCCTTGCCTCCATAGTTCAATTGTATGAAGGTAGGATTGGCAGATAGCTCAAGTAGGAAATGGTGAGCATAAAGTTATGTGTCCCAAGAAGCCACAAGTAATCATCCTATAAGATAATATATTACATGAAAAAAATAAAGGTGTGGCAGGGAGAATGGAAAGCTTAATCCAAGAATATATTAAGATTCATAAAGTTCCTATATCTCAGTATGTCTATGGAGATTTTCAGTCTTCCAGGTCATGGTTGTCCCAAAGATGCTTTTTCAAAAACCAACTGGAATTTGTTTTTCCTTGAAGATATTTCACTTCTCATCCAAGAAACTTCTTCAATTCTCATACATTGCACTTCAGAACTGAAGAAGCTTCTTCTTGGATGAAAAGCTAAATGTCTTCAAGGGGAAACAAACTTCAGTTGCCCTTAAAAAAGCACCTTTGGGATGATTATATCTCAGTAGTAATATGGTAGGCAATAGCAGCAGAAATAGCAAACCAGCTTCAAACATGTAAGATCTTCATTTTCATTTCCTGGGACCTCTGCTTTAAGAACATTAAATTAGAACACTGGGAGATAAAACTCTTTTTAGCTATTGTCAGTCAGAATCAAAAGGCAGGACAAAAGGATCTGGCTTATTATGAACTATTGTCATAAGTAATAAAGATTCTAAAATTTGCACAATTTAATCCCTCCCCCCCATGCTACTCTTTAAAAACAAGGAGAGCTCCATTAGAAACGTTGATTAAATTCCTAGGTGTATTTAAACAACGTTTTAGCAGCTTAAGACCAATACTAGGAACTAACATCTGCCAAAGACTACAGAAATACTATATAACTACTTTTTCATAATGGGTGAAATGTTCAGATACTATGAATATGTTTCCAGGTATAAAATGCTCTTGATCAATAATATGCAAGGATGTAAAATGCTTCTTAGGAGAAGAGTTTGATATAAGCATCCCAAGAAACATTATGTTCCATCTGAAGCAGAAACAATGTAGAAAATTAAGAATCACCGAATTGGGCACTATCAAATATTGTTCACTTCATTGAGACAGCATTAAACAAATGCTTAACTTCCTTGTCTAAATGGCCAATGACTAAGCCTTTGCTGCAATGGGTTTGCCTCAGCTCTAAGTCCCTTTCAAATAGATACTTGTATAGTTGTTATTTTAGGGACTATGTCAAGCTTGGTCATCCAACAATTTGTATGCAGATTTCCACTGAAATGCACTTCAGATAATTTAAAAGAACATCGTATTAAAAATGTATGCATGCATGCAGATGTTCATCTAGTGCAGTGCTTCTCAACCTTAGCAACTTTAAGAAAGGTAGACTTCAATTCCCAGAATTCCCCAGCCAGCCGGCTGGGGAATTCTGGGAGTTGAAGTCCACCTTTCTTAAAGTTGCCAAGGTTGAGAAATTCTGATCTACTGCATACAACAGTTTGCATCAGTTGACCCAATGGCTTCTTATTGGAAATAATGGTTTTTGAAATGAATATAGTTCAGTTGTTTGAAAGCCATCACTAAGTTATTATTTCAAATAGCTCATCTTTGATGGTCTCCAATCACTTTCCTATGCTGAATGAGGCCAAGGAAAAGACACCTCAAAATTAAACCCATTAAGATCTGACAGAATATTCATCTATCAGAATATTCTTGATATTTTCTGGTCTTTATGGTACTTTGCCTCTCCTCACCTTCAAAGGTAACAAAGTATGACATCTCTTCTGACCTCAACCCTTCCCAACAACATTGTCAGAAGTTAAGGACTCTTCAAATGTTCCACTAGTTAAAGAAGATCAATGATAAAACATATTGCAATGAGTATGATGAAGTACTATCCAATTGGGCTTCCATGATTTTTGTTCAAATGGTAAAGTAAGTGATTTTTTTAAAAACAATAACAACAACAACAGTTTGCTTTTCTTATATGAATTCTTAATACTTTTTTTAAAAAAAAAAGAAAAACGATATACCTTGATCCCAGCATTACTATCCCATTGTAACTTTGGCACCTCTTTAGAAGAAAGAAGCTTTAATAAATAATGAAACTGAAACTCATGTCTGAACCATAATAAATAATAATAATAACTTAAATCTCAATAAATATTTTCTCTAGATTTGACTTTAAACAGGATGCATTGCATCAAGTAGTCTTTCTTTTCACTCACGATGACCGCAAATAAAAAATGTAGTTCAAATGTAGTAAGTGACCGTCTTTAAACCATTAAAAGATCCACATTTTTTTTTTAAAATGGCATTTTGCTAGACAGGTGATTAAAAACACAGCCTGCTATGTTGAGAAACAGAAAGGGTAATATCTCTCTCCCCCTCCAACATTAATCCTTTTTCAGTTACATTCTAAATTAGTTAGCTTTTAGAAATCCTCCATCTTTTTCATAATCATGTGTTTAGAATTTAGCAATATAATTAAAAGTTGAGCTTGACTTCTTTCCCATATAGGTACTCCTTGACTTACATTCACCATCGAGACCAGAAGTTCTGTTGCTAAGCAAGATGATCCATTAAGTAAGCCCCACTCAATTTTACAACCTTTTCTGTCATGGTTATTAAGCAAATTACTCCAGTTATTAAGTGAATCGCACGATTCAGTGAATCCGGCTTCACCTATCAACTTTGCTTGTTGGCAGCCAGCTGGGAAGGTGATCACAGATGGTGATCTCCTGACCTCAGAATACTGCAGCGGTCGTAAATACAGTTGATGCCAGTTGCCAAGCACCTGAATTTTGATCACAGGATCATGGGGATAATGCAATGGTCATAAGTGTGAGGATCACTTGTAAGGCCCCTTTTTCAGGTCGATAACTTCACATGGTTGGCACATGAATGATTGTTAATTGAGGGCTACCTGTATATAAAAATATGGAATTGCTTTCGATTTACAGCTAGTCCTCAAATTACGACCACAATTCAGCCCAAAATTTCTGTTGCTAAGTGAAACATTTGTTAAGTGAGTTTGCCCCATTTTTTTTACTTTTCTTGTGACAGTTGTTAAGTAAATCGGGGCATTTATTAAGCCAATAACATGGTTGTTAAGTGAATCTGGCTTCCCCATAGACTTCTCTTGACAGAAGGGTCACGAAAGCTGATCCCATAACCCTGGGACATTGCAACCATCATATATATGAGTCAGTTAACATTAATTTTGATTCGTGTGACCAGGGGGATGTTGCAAAGGTTGTAAGTGTGAAAAGCGGTCCTAAGTCACTTTTTTCAGTGCCGTTGTAACTTTGAACTTTGGCCCCTAAACGAACTCTTGTAAGTCGAGGATTACTTGTATATGTAGCTCTACTTGAAGCTTTGTAACTAGGGGATTCTGTTGTGAGTCTACTTTCTGACCGATTGGTATGGGTAAAATAGTTCTGCGTTATTCATAAGGCACAGGAACAGAAGCTGATTATTAGCTTTACATCACAGAAAAGAGGGATGTTGTGATGTACAATTTAGCTAAGTGGTCTGTAGATCAAGGGCAGAATTTCAAGTTCAGATTTCCATGAAGGATTTCTAAAAGAGATCATTAGCAATGGAAGACAAAGGTCTACCCTAACTAGGCTTTCCAAGTATCAAAAAAGTGCTGAGTGAATTGTTGGGAATTGTCCGTTCTCAAGCTGGGAAAATTTAGCCAGCAATTTGTATGAACGGCAAGTTCTGCTAGGATAATTTCCTCCTTCCATCAAGTGTGTTTTATCCATTATCACCTCTCTATATATTCCACTCTTGCATCTCAAATATCCTGATAAATTCCTCAGGATTGCTCAGACAGTTGGCCTTCCTCAACCTGGGATCTCAGTTTTCAGAATGCTTCAGCCAGTATGGCCATTATGAAATAATTCTGGAAACCCAGTCCATATTGACTGGAGGATGCAAGGTTAGGGAAGGTTTGAAAGATCAGAGGGGAGAGATTAACAAGAGCAAAATCATGGCTAGGGCTGGGTAACCAAAGCACAGTTCCTTTTTAACGTGCATCAGACATGCATGAAAAGGGTTGGAACTCCAGCCATCTGATCATGGTGGCCATTCTGACATTGTTGACACTGTCCCCCACTCCCAGAAGCCCCTGCAGCTGATCATGAAACACGTTCTTCTCAATATGAAAGACAGATTATGCCTCCAGATCGGGATGAAGGCCTACTACATTAGTTTAACTTCAATTTGGAGGTGGGGGGGAGAGAGAAAACAAAGAAGGAAAGGAGCTTGTATTGATAAGCACCTGTTCGACCAAGTTTTGCCAATGGTGGATCACCTCAAAACCAGTGGTGTAAAGTAATTCCCATTCATCCTGGATCTCAGCCCCTGAGCATTGATGTCTATTTGCCTTCCTGTAGAAACCAAAAGCTCCATCATGTTGTAGCTTCACCAGTTATCCCGTGCTGGATTTCCATCAACCAGGCTCCCACAGCTGTTGTTCTCCTGTATGCTTGGTCCTCTTCCTTCATCTGAAGCCAACTTTTTCTTTCCTCAGGAGCCTTGGTCCCCTTCGTTGCCCATTTTAGCAGGAATGCAATATCATAGCCATGTCCAAACACACAAGGACATCAAACGCACCCACATTTTTTAGCGGAATGTTTCCTCAGTATGTGATAAGTTGATAGGTCATCGTCCAAAAACGAAACGTCATCATCATAAGCAATGGGTCTGCAACAAGGCTGTGGCCTGATTTTGTCACTGACCAACTTTTTATTTTGGGTTAAATTGTTTAGAATTTGGTCATACAGGGTTACAGCAGTCTCGCACGAACCACTACAATAACGGAAAATCAATTCTTCTTTGGTAGTGTATCCCAAACCCAAGTCAGTCACATTTAAGTGAATCTCACTTAAGACACAATCCCTAGATTTGAGCCTTTGAGCTCTCCGTCCTTTCCTGTTGTTGGAATTATTGTTCCTTCCTGCATTTTGCCGGTTTCTTTCCCGTTTGGAGAAACGTGGTTTATCTGGTGACCTCTTTAGTCTTTTTAAAGTGGTTTGAATAAAATCCATCACATCCTCAAGTTGGCTGGGATAATCCACAAGTATATTAGCTGTTTGGAAAAGGAGAAAAACAATTTGTCAAATGATTACGTATCCATCTTATTTCACATGGAGAAAATTACTGAAATTACTTACTGAAATTTCTAGCAGGCATATGGTTAAATCTGGGAGTGACAACTGCATATGTTAAAGGCTACAAAATTCAATTTTTTAAAATTTATATATTACTGGATTTATTACTGGACCCAACTCAACAATGAGACTCTGAGTGATACACTAACAAAACACAAGCCATAAACCAAACAAGAACCATAGTGTGAAAAGAGATATTGTACAATAGATAAATATGACATACAGAATATAAAATGATGACCAGTAAACAACCCAAAGGAAACTCTGCTCATCTGGACCCAAATTATTCCATGATCATGCCAGTTTAATAAAATGTATGTTCTATATAGGCATGTATTCAAAATTCACAAGGATTAATATATCAATTAATAAATCAAGGCAAGAAAATTCATTGCTTCCTTCTTCTTTTAGGTACAGACATTATATAAGGTGATTGTGAAAATTCCAACATTACTTCTGATGTTTAAAGAAGTCCATAGGACAGACTAACCTATTTAATACATATCCATTGGTTGACTAAGTGTTTCCATGGAAAACTAGATTAAGTGAAATATTAGATTGTGATGTATTCTCACAGCACCTAGTCACTCTTGAACAGACAGAAAACTTCCTTAACTTGATATTCCCAATGCATTGGAGTACAACTGTAATTTCTATCCAGGGGGACCACTGGGAATTATGAAAGTGGTGATCTGATACATTTGGAGGGTTCAGATTACAGAAAATTGTTCTATTCCTTGTCTATGACACTCTATAAGTTGCCTATTCATCGTTCTATTCCATTTCCACAACTGTCTGAGCATTGTTATCCACCTTTTATGGTAAAAATGAGCACAAATTACAGCTGGAAGAGAAGGACATTTTTATTTGGAGCATGGCAATGACACAGTGAATAGGATTGAAATGTTGGTCTTCAAATTTATTCAGGGTTTACATAAAAAAATGCATTAACCCTCAAAATATAACAGAAAGATAACAGATAATCAGAGTTGGAAGGGACCTTGTAGGTCATCTAGTCCAACCCCCCACCCAAGCGGGAGACCCTACACCATTTCTGACAGATGGCAGTTCTCACTGTCAGAAAGTTTCTCCTTATTTCCAGATTAAATCTCTCCTTGTTCAGTTTCCATCTAACAGTTTCCATATAACCGATTACTTTTAAAGTTTGAACATAACTAGTCCAAAGAAAAACAGGTCTTCAGGCCACATCTAACCCATGATTCATAGGATTACCATGCCTGATTTACTGGAAAACATCTGCCTGGATTCAAGCCACTTTCAATCTATCTCTGTGTGAATGCATCTCCTCCTTTGAGTGACACTTGCCCTGGAGAATCGCATCATAGATATCATCCCCTCAACAAATATTCTTATCCAATTCTAGAAAAATTGGTACCATTCAAAGACTGAGTGCAATGATTAGGAATTCTGGTAGTCGTAATCAACAATAATGAAGATAACCCTGATATATACAGAAAGTATGGAAGCAAGCAAACAACTGAACTGTTTGAAGAATGAGTAAGAAAGTTGACCTTGACATAAATTTGCTGCCATAAGTCATCAAAGCAAGGAGGAGAAAAAGGTAGCTTAAATCTTAACCAAGCAGAAAGTATGCAGAGGTGGATCAGATAGACTCCTCCCTAATTCACATGGGTATAAGGAGGGAGAGGAAATACTTCCCAATTAGATTTCCAAGGTTCTGTTATTATATCCCATGTCAAAAGAGTTTTAGCCTGCCTGTAGAGTTGATTTCTTGGTCTGATCTACATAATGGGCTTGTATAAAACTAAGTTATTCCAAATATTCCAGCCTGCTTTCCAGGCATGGCAGTGACTGAGAAGTCATCTGAATTGACAAGTTAGAACCAGAAGATTGTAGAATTGGGAGGGACTACAAGGCTTATCTAGTCAAACCCTCTGCAACATGTAGCAAAACCAATTAAATCATCCATGGAAGGTAAGTATCCAGCCTTTTGTTATTTTTTTTTTTTAAAAAACTTCCACAGATGGAGAACCAACAAACTCCTTAGGTGAACTATTCCTGCTGCTTACATCCAGATTAAGAAAGCACTTCCTTACAAAATGCACAAGCTTTGGAGGAAATGGAAGCATGTTAACCAACGATGGATGATGTATTAACAATGCTAAGGAAAAACAAACTTTGAATGAATCAAACAGTCCTTGTTGGCTTACCAAACTAGAAAAGACAGCTGGCCAGCAATCCTTCCTATAATATAAACTAGTCCTGTATTTCTTTTTCAGCAAGGTGAAAGATTGCATCCAATTTCTGAGACACTGAAAAAAATAAGCAGCACAGCCTATTTATTCGGTGATATTTTTGTGCCTGGAGACCATCTACGACAAGGGTGTCAAACTCAAGGTTCATGGGCTGCAGATCTGGCCCATAGGGCCACCCCGAAAACAGCGAGGGACCAGCCCGCGGTGCCTCTGCCAGTAAAAATGGAGCTCAGGAGGGCTATGCGCGGTCCTCCAAGCTCTGTTTTCTGCTGCAATGGCCTCCTGCAACCCTCTGCCAGCAAAAACGGAGCCCAGGAAGGCTCTGTTTTTGCTCGCAGAGTGTCGGACCACCACAAGTGCTCCAGACTCAAGTGACGTCCAGCTGGCCACACCCACCCCGGCCAGCCCCTCCCCTAAGGTCAAACACAATCCTGATGCTGCCCTCAATGAAATTGAGTTTGACACCCCTGATCTACGAGATCTCATGCCAGGACTCAAGTGGGAAGAGGAAAAACCAAGAAGCCCTTTCTTTGAACCTTCATGTACAGTCAGCCTGTTCATGTGTAGTTTTGCACTAGCTTGTAAACTGACAGGTTTTGCTTCTGTCTAGTCTAGCCTTGAGCTGTACGGAGGCAAATACTAATTGGGTGAGGAATTATCAGCCTGTAGGTGCAATGCAAGCAGTTTCTTCTATCAATCCAGCTAGTAGGTTGTTAGAGAATCAGCAACTATACCAATCCACTATTTGGGAAAGAAAAAGAACTGATTTATATATTGAACAGCTGATTTGCCACAACTGTGCAGGGTTGCTTGAAGGAATGGTGCCACATTTGCTGCCATTTGTATTGTTTTACAAGGGAGGCAGTTGACACAGAAAAATATGCATTTTGCTCAGGGGTGAGATTCAATTTTTTAAATAACTGGTTCTGTGGGCATGGCTCAGGTGGTGGGCGTGGCTTGGTGGTCATGTGACTGGGTAGACATGGTTTGGTGGTCATGTTATTGGCTGGGTGTGGCCAACTCAGCATCACCCACATCGAGGCAGGCATCTCCTCGCCTGGCCTCTCATGACTATGGGGATGCTGCAACAGTCGTAAGTGTGAAAAATGGTCATAAGTCACTTTTTTCAGTGCCATTGTAACTTTGAATGGTCACTCCACACAAGCAAAGTACCAGCAAAGGAGGGGGAAAAAAACTCCAGAGAAGTTCCTGAGACAGGAAGTCTAGTCCTGCCAAGAATGTAATAAGGGTTAAAAGAGAGGCAGTTTCTGTAAGCAACACCAGAATGTTTCCTTCCTGCCTTCCTTACAGGATTAGGCCAGTAATTTCTTCTAATAACCAGTTCTCCGAACTGCTTAGAATGTTAATGACCAGTTCTAACGAATAGGTGCGAACAGGTAGAATCCCACCCCTGATTTTGTTATATAGTGATGTCATTTACAGCATATATTTAGCACAGGTACATAGCACAATATCGGATCCTCCTAAGTCTCCCAGAGACAATCCTTCTGTGTCTCTCTTGCATCCTCTCTTTTTCCCACAATTCTTTCCCCCTTTTCAGTCTTTTACAATAACAAGCTTGATCTTCTCCTGCTCAGCTGAATATCTACTGCTTCTTTGCTGGGGGAAGAAGAATCGGGGTCATCTGCCCACTCCTTCTCCAGCCATGAACAGCTGATCATCTCCTTCCCCCCCATGGACCTTCCTTCTCCTTTTCCAACCAGGAAATTAAGCGTGTGGGTCACACACTTCACTTCTCTCTTCAACTTTCTTCTCCAGCCACTCCGTTAATTTTATGCACAGACTTTTCCCTCTCCCTTCTCCTCCTTCCCTGCTCTATTTTTAGTCAGACTAGTAGCATGACACACAACCCCCCAGTGGAGGTGGATGACACCTCCCCCACCCCAGCTATCTAGCAGACTGAAACAATGGGACTGCTGTCTCCAAAATCTCCCCACCAAAGTCTTGGCCAGCCAGAGCAGCTCATCAGGCCTTGTGATAAGTGCAGCTTCTCTTCAAGGCCAAAACCGAGCGGCCTTTCCTCCTTTTACTCACTCCAATAGCTGGCTCATATCAGTGGAACAGCCACCATGCCAGGCCCCTGAAACCCCATGGGCCACATTATCTCTGCTTATTGAATGTAATGAGAATTTAAAAAATATTTCAGTGCAATAAATATTTACTCCTAGTTGCTTATGCCTCTGAAACAAACCAAGTCCATTTTTGTAACGCCACCGAATTATGCCCTCTGAATCATGCAAGCCAATAAATGGTATGCAGATGTGTCAATTTATACATAAGCATTGCTCAATAGTTGTTTTTATAATTAAGTAACAACTGAAATTTTTATCCAATTTCAAGGTCAATGGATTAAGTTCTGCCTGTGCAGGGAAAGAAAGATAGAAGGCCTTATATCCTTAATTGTTTGGAAAGACCCTATATAATTTCATACATAGTATATCTCTTCAACAGGAAGATTGAGAGGTTCAAAAGCATAATTTTGTGTACAGGGACAGCAGTATCATTGTGCACATGAGCAATCCATTGAAACAGCAGCTAATAGAGACAATCCCAATCCAAAGCATATGTATTTTGAATCAAAACCTGCCTCAAAGCTTATATAACATTAATTAATAGTTATTCCAGTTTATGAAATATTAATTGGGAGGACAGATCAAAATAGCAATAGCACTTAGACTTATATACTGCTTCAGAGTGCTTTACAGCCCTTTACAGTGGTTTACAGAGTCAGCATATTGCACCCAACAATGGGTCCTTATTTTACCAACCTCGGAAGGATGGAAGTCAATCTTGAGCCAGTGAGAATCTGGCAATCAGCAGAGTTAACCTGCAATACTGCATTCTAACCACTGCGCCAACATGGCTCTGCCTCCCCTAGTCTTTGATGAGAGTAGCTTTTATGCTATACCGCTGTTTCATGAAGCTTGTTTTTTGCTCAGTGATATATATTGACTGAGCATACCTTACATATTTAATGTATGATGTGGAGGAAGAAAGCAACTACAAATATAACTGGTTGTGGCTGACTAAAAATATCAACGACTATGTTATATCACATTTTCTAAGTTTATTCAACTTGTAAAACAAGCAGCAATAGTGTGATCAAGGGAAACTTGAAGTTTCAGAAGATACTAAATTAATTTTAACTCATTCTCAAATTTAAACACCAAGATTAATCTAGATATAATTTTTTTTTACTAAAGCTATTTTTTGTTATTGATGAGCCTCCTTGCAAATAGTTATTTCCTAGCCCAGCTTTCACAACATTAGATTGATGTATGAAGAAAGTAATTATGATTTAAACCCTTTTACAAGGAATAACTAACAGCAATAATCATCATTGACTGGACAATGACAGTTTACTTCTGGCATTTATTGCCAGAAATTTTTATTTGTGTGTTTTCATTACACTACCATATTTCCCTAAAGCAACTGAAGAGGGATTCTAAAGACAAAGAAACCTGAGACTTTCTAGAATGTCTATTTGGGTATGAATGCCTTCATTATACAGAAAAGAATCAACAATTGAATCAACAGTCAACAACTGAAAAATTATAGTAGTTAGTGTGGTAGAAGGAAGAAAGAATGACAAAAGTTTAAACATTTTGGCTAACTTGCATCATTCCTGTGGCTTCCTTCCAAAAAAAAAGTGAAGAGGGAAACCCAGGAACGATTCCAGTGGAAAGGCAGAAAAGGAGGAACAGACAAGGCAGAAAAGTGGAAGAATGCAGATGTGGTTTTGCATCTGTTGGAAAGATGCTGAAGAGGCAAAAATGGCTGAGAATCCCTATGTCACCAGAAAGCAACAGTTGAAGACTACTGTATAATTTGCTACAAACACAATAAAACCCACCCAAGGAGCCCAAAGGGTGGCTACAACTCATGGAGTCTATCTCATTTGCACATAAGAAGCTGCTCCTTGATCCCCTTTGTGTTACAACAGGGTGAGGCAAAGTCATTGCAAGGCATAACTATCCACAATAGTGTTTCGCAACCTTGGCAACTTTAAGATATGTGGACTTCAAGTCCCAGAATTCCCTAGCCAGCCAACAGTTCTAGAAGTTGAAGTCCACACATTTAAAAATTGCTATGGTTGAGAAACACTGATCTATAAGCTTCGCTAGGAAAGCATTATTCTATCCAGGTTTTTTGAGGAAAAAGGTAGATTGCTGCCACATAAATAATATTAAATTCTAATGCAGCACAGCACTCCAGGAAACAGACACAAGGACAGGTTCAGTCTCATTTATTCAGCGAATGTGGGAAAGAAAGAAAAAAGAAAGCAGGACTGTGTTTTGTTCCAGTGTTGGCACATTCAAGTCCCTACCATCTGTTGGAAGGATCACACATGGAAGGTTGAGCAAGCCATTATAGCAATATTATCTATCTCCTTCGTGTGAAGAAAGGCCTTGAAGTAAGCAGAGTTCCTGAAAGCATGAAGGAATTAAACCAGCGGTGGGATTCTACCGGTTCTGTCCACCTCTGTAGAACCGGTAGTTCTGAAGAGCAGCAGACAGAGAGCATACACAGAACCGGTTCTATGTCTGCTGCTGTTTTGGCCCACCTGCCTGCCCGGGCTCTTACCTGACCTTTATTTCCTGCTTTTTCAACCGCAGCTGCTTTGCGCGACACAGCTGCAGTTGAAAAAGAAGGGGGAAAAAATGCTTTTTCAACTGCTGCGCACTTGCACGCAGTGCTGCTCAGCTGTCCTGGCAGCTCAGCAGGTCGTAAATTGCACTCGCGTGACTCGCAGAGCGACAGAACTGGTAGTTATACCGGTCGGATCCCATCCCTGAATTAAACATGCGTCACCAACTGCATGAATGTTATAGAACAGGGGTGTCAAACTCAAGGCCCATGGGCTGGATCTGGCCCACAGGGTGCTTAGATCCGGCCCGTGGGACTGTCCTGGAAATAGCGAAGGACTTGCCCGTGGTGCCTCTACCAGCAAAAACTGCCATTTTCATTGGTAGTGGGCTATCAGAACAAATTAAAAACAAAACAAAAGAAGAAATGTTTCCCCTTTTGCATTTGAGCATGCAAGAAGGGACAGGAAAGGAGATAGGGAAAGACAAGGAAAAAGAAGGGAAGATGGGAAGAGAGCAAAGAAGGAAAAATAAGGAAAAGGGAAGAAAAAGGAAAAAGGAATGAAGAGAGAAGGAAAAAGAAGAAAAGGAATGAAGGAAGGAAGGAAGGAAGGTGTAGTGTATTTAAATAGAGACTTCTAGGACGATGTTCCTATTGGTTAACAGAAGCAGCGATACGATTGGTTAGTAACGTTAGTACCTGATTGGCTGCCAATAGCGGCGGGAAGTTTAACTAAATGTCATTGGTTGCAAGCCATGGAGCAGCCGCTATAAAAAGGGCTGCTGCGGTTCGACTGCAGTTGAAGTTACTGTTATTATTAAAGAGCTGAATTCAACTCCGGTCTGCGAGTCTCTTTACTGGCGACAGAACAAAAGGAAGGAAGGAAGATTATAATGTGAGGGAGGGAGGGTCTCAGGGAAGTCCTGCATTAACACATGGCCATGACAGGTGCCCCTGAAACGAGTCTCGTGTCATGCTCACCATGCCCACCCCGGCCACACCCACCATGGCGATGCCTACCCTCCAGCCCTCCGAGGTCAAACACAACCCTGATGTGGCCCTCAGCGAAATCAAGTTTGACACCCCTGTTATAGAACATGGCCTTCCCTGGGTGCAGATTGCAGTACAGTCCTATTCCTTACTCTATCCATACTTCCACATAGATGTGAAGGGAAAGTGAATAGAAGCCCGCACTACATGCGTTCCAAGACAGTCAGCGGTATATCACCAGTGAAAATATTTCATTTCATCATGAAAATCCCTAGATTAATTTGAATTAAATTAATTTCAAGAAAATCTGACTTTCATTCCTAGGATGCAAAACTCAGTGCATGTGGGAATTGGCCCAGCTGTGTTCAGGAGGTCTTGAATAAATAAGACTAAAACCGTAAATTGTAAGGCTCTTGATCTGAAGGAAATCTCAAGGAAGCAATCTCTGCAATGTGGCTTCTACTCAACAACTTATAGAGAAGACCCAAGCTTCCTGACCAACCCAACTTGGAAAAGACTAGTTAAAAAAAAACAAAGAAGATACAGGAAGCTGATTTGCTGAAGAGCAAAGCAACAGCCACTAGCATCATACTGATTTGTAGGAAGGCCTTTCGTCTTAGTTTATCTTTGGCTATGGGGCAACAACAATGGCAAACCCTTGACTGTTTCTTCCTTAGGCCCCATCTGCCCATCCCCATCTGAGTCCCTGTTGGAAGGCACAGACGAACGGATCATCTCAAAATGAAAAGAAAAAAGAAAAGAAAAGCTGAAGGCCAGTAAGCAACGGTAAAAGAATAACAAGAAGTGGCAGCAAGAAAGTGGAATGTGTGCTTACAATCCATTTGGCCAGCGTAGGGATTCAGCAGCCTGCTGGTAGTGTGGTCTTCTTCAGCTCTTCCTAGCACTGAGCGGGCCTTTTCTGGAGGTCTCTTACCAGCGGGAAGCGGAAAGGTCGAGATCGAGTTGAGTAGCACCAGGCAGACAGTCACCAGATCCCATAAATTCATCTTAGATTCCCTTCCAGCACAAGACCCTGGCAAATGGGAGACATACATTAGTTTTCACCTCTTCTTCCCTTTGAGTGCCATCTGTCTTCATCTCCACCTCTCTTTCCTAACCTGGCCTGCCTTGCCCATCTATTGTAAATGCAACCGTTTTAATGATCGATATAATAGTAAGCACAATGCTTAGCATTTAAGTGTTTATTAATAGTGAGTCATAACTTTTATGGGTGTCTTTCATTCCAAGGCACCACAGCTCCCCCAAACAGCTGGAGTTCATGTATAAAATCAAGGGGAAACAATGATTTAAAAAAATCTGGAATGAGAATAAGAACTAGTTAATAGAATATTGGTCAAGATTCTGGAGCTCTATTTATTGTCCCTACTTTGGATCCCCAACATTTTCTGCAATGTTGTCATGGCCATAAGCCCTATTTTATTTTATTGTTATTGTTATCTCTCTCTCCTCTCTCTCTCTCTCTCTCTCTCTCTCTCTCATCTATCTATCTATCTATCTATCTATCTATCTATCTATCTATCTATC